TATTTTAAATTACATTACTTTCACCACAGGTATCACTTAACATTGTTGGGAGGCCAAAGTCCATGACACACACTGATTGAGTCAGTAGAATAACCATTTAATTTGTATTGTTATTAAATATAAGTTTTCATGCAGGTGTCTTCACAATGCTTTGCATTTATGCTGAATTAGTGTATTTGGTATAAAGTAGGTAGGAGGACAGCTGGCGTATTTTGTAGGAATTTATCCCTGGACTGACAGGGGAACTTATTTTAACTACTGAATGACTGTAATGTAAGAACATGGAATGGAGAACAGAAAATAAAAAGATGTTTTGAAAATGTGCTGAAAAGTCTAAAAAACTTTTGACATCCTTGAAAAAGATAAACAACACAGGTAATGAGCAATATGTTATGCTCAAGAATATATTAACTAATTTGTATATATTGCTCATAGAAAAAGGGTTCGTTAACAAGTAATAATTTTATTTCTTATAACATAGATTGGCATTAGAATTATTCTTTACTTCTTACAAGATTTCCAATAAAGTTGAAACTTCATCTGGAGAACTTTGCTAAAGGCAGAGGTTAATGTTATACTCCTCAATTACGCATTCCTTGCTGTGACTTTTTACGTCTGTCCACCTGTCTTCTGATTATCGATCTTCGAAGGGGCACCCTTGCAGGTAAGATTCTGGGCAAAGAGCATGTATCAGAATGCACTCTTACCGGGAAGAGTGTCTTGTTCTATCACAGTGCAGCAAGAGATGAGAACATCACAGACCTACTGCATATACTGAGAAGGAAACACTTTTTCTGATAAGTGTGTGATTATAAGTGCACTGTAATTTTAAGCTAGAATGTCTTATCCGGTAGATTTCAGTTTTTTTTTTACGACCAATACACTTCAGGTTAACCTACAGTATTTCAAGTTTGCGCCCTTTCCGTAATCTATCATCTAGGGAACAAATTGTTGTCATGTTAAAACTCGGCAAACAACAGGATGTGAGGGCATTGCCTTTCTGACTCTCTCATGCGGTTGTGTTATGTTAAACAGTACTTAATCACTTAAGTGTGTTCAGGATCAACTGATTTGTAGAGAAGCCAGTTGAACAGATTTGATTGTTTAGAACGGTGGCGAGCCAGCTGCATCGACAGGCGCACAGACGCATCTGCTAATTTATACTGGTAGCCATAGTAACGTGGCAATGAGGCCTGAACTTTACATCCTCTGCTTGTTAGAACTCTTTAGAAATCCCTGAAAGAGGTCTATTCATTGCTTTTGACTGAGCGATCGCCGAACTTGACTGCAGTCCTGGATCTGCAGTCCTAGCTCATTGTGTCGTTGGGCCGCTCGCTGTCTTTATCTGCTCTGCCACAGACCGTTACAAATGAGCCCTGTACTCACGAGGTCTGCCCAATTACGCACTTGCAGGCGTTTCCACAACTGTTATGACAAGTATTTATTTATAATGGGAGAAGAGTGGTGATAATAGGCCAAGAAAGGCTGTTTTAAGCCAGCAGTATCTAGGCTATAGTTAATCCCAAAGGTGGTGGTTCTGCTCAACCTACAATAAAGTTTTCAGTACTCTGTACTGTATTGAACAAGTTTATTAAAATCTCTATCTTTTGCACGGCACAATACTTACCATATATTGAAATATTTCTCCCCTGACAAGAAATATACTGTAACACTGGGACTGGGACTGTTTGGGGGACTTAATGTATTTTTCTTCTCTGTACACATTTTGTTATGTTGTTTTCCTAAATTAATTCAGCATAAAAATGCACATGGAACTTTGTCTTGAAACCTGTCGGGTAACATTTAGGATGAATCTCCATAAATTCTAGCCATCCATGCAAATTCACACACAGATTCAGAATTTATTCGTGCATGTTGGGTAGATGCTTCGTTTTTCTGTTCGTTATGTAGAAAGACTTCTTCCTTGCTTGCTGTCCTCAACAGTGGTTTTCAACTAAATCGTTTGAAACATACTTACAACCGATTTGCCTTTTACTGTACGTTTTTTTTTTCTGATTTTCTGCCTCAGACAGAGTAGTCCAATCTGTTTCATAAAAAAGCAGGTTTTATGAATGGTTATTGGAAATGATGTTGAAATGTGCTGCATCTTCCCGTCTGTGGAGCCCGCTATTGATTTCAAAGACTTGCTACCAGGGCTTTAAGCTACATCAGACATTCCCAGAATTCTACTGTGGGGCTTTCCAGCAAGACCATGTGGTTGTTTTGGGACATAAAACGAAACGATGGACCGTATATGTTATTTGCCTGTGCTGTTTCCCTTGTTTTCATTCCATCTCAGATTTTAATGGCTAATATAAAACATGTAAGTGGATAAGAATTCAAATCAACCATTTCCAGGTCATAATGCTAATTGACCTAATTAAAAGGTGCTAATTGAAAAGAGTCTCTACTCTTAAATTCAGGAGCCTGAAACTCCAGGACCAAGTTTGCTTGGCGAAATAAGGTATAAGGTATTTATTAACTTTATTATTCAAGATAGCTTTCATTTTCTTTTTTATATATATAAAATAAAATACTGGGGAAAAATTCAAAGTAAAAAAACATCTTGAACTAGAGACGGAAAAAGTATCCAATTATACACATTCATATTTAAGCTGAGGGAGAATTAAAAATGATTATGTACAGTAAGTAAATGATGAGTATTAAGTTTTCTTTACAATTGTTTACAATATCTTACTTCATTATCAGCTGCTGCTCGTTACAATACAGGGAAGACGGGGAAACTACAGTACATCACAAATTTACACTTGACACTTTTTTAGGTAACCTACTTTATTAAATCCTCTTATGATTTACAGAAATGTTGTTGAAAAAGTAAACATTTTGTACTTTTCTGAAATGTTATGACTCAGCTTTTGTGAAATCGTATAATTTGTTTCCTCGCTGCCAGGGTTCTTACAATAAGACATGATGAATGGGGGTATGTAAGCCCAAATCTGGCACCGGAAAGTAATCTGGGAGACGGTTTCCTCTGACACAAACTAAAATCCATCCTTTTTTTTCTGGCGTATGCCAGATGTACCTTCAGCTTAGGTCCCTAAGAGGCTCCACTTGGCGGAGCAAACCTGTGTTTGCGCTCTTTTATGAAATTCTTTATCCAGTATGCTTCTGCAAACTTTATTGATTTTATATTACCGACAGTGATCCACCCAAACATGGTCCTTTGTACAGTACTCGCTGACCCTTTGCTCTTCTGTAGTTGTCAGTCTTACTGTCTGGTGCTGTTGCACTTGTTTGCATTTAAATTCATTTTGGCTGTGTTTCATAGAGCAAAGACATTTCATCCTGTTTCTATTCACTGTGCTTCATTTAAACCACCACAAAGACTTTAACGGTTGTAAACATGATGGTATCAAGGTATACTTATCATTGCATACGATTTTCCCTTCAGCTGTAGAGATTTTAGTGTGTTTTTATGTTTTCATGGGTGAAATACAGTATGTTGAGATTAACCACATACATTTTTTAATACGTTACCCAAATAAGGGTATGAGACTGTCCATGCAGTACTGAAAATGAATTAAATGTTCACCTTTTTATCTTTTTAAATCAGGTAACGAGTAATTTATACGAGGGAATAATCAGATATAAAATACAAATCACAGAAAGATGCCCAGAAAGGAGCAGGATGAGTGAGCTGTGATTGAGCACGTGTGTATTAATACAGCAGTAGTTGTTTTTGATATACTGTGTGTTTGGAAAAATGTCCTCAACAGTAACATTTTTTTGTTTCCTTGTAATTAATTTTTCAAAGATATGACAATTCTGTTGTTCCTCTGTCATTAATCATCTGAAGCTATCATACTTGGATTCTAATGTTATGATGTTATTTCGTTTATTGTACTCATTGCCTTGTTGTAGGGCCCAGTATTTGTGCCTATAAAACATGGCCCCATCAGTTGTGGCTGTCTGAGTGAATTTTTGTGGTTCACCCTGCATGTCTTTCCACTGATTTTTTCTTCTTTTTCTGCAGCTTGTAGCACTTTGGCTTATTTTTGTTAATACATGGAATCCAGTTTGTAGTAAAGGCAACCACGGACATGTCATTTCCTGGCACGGATTCGTTCAGACGTCACTTAGAGCCCAGTGATATTTGAAAATAGCTGAAATGTGCCAACATGGAAAATGCAGCACCGAGACCTGCCTTAGACCCGCAACAGGGCTGTCTTTCAGGGTCCTCTGAGCTCCCGACACTGACATCACGTGTTTCTGCTGGGCTCATCCCAATTTGGTTTGAGTTTGTTGCTCCTTCCCAGCATCCAAGGGCACCTCTTAGCCCAAACCTTTGTTCTGACCCCAAAGCGGGGAATTCATTTGTCACTAACACTAGTCTCACGTGAAAACAGATGTCCTAAAACTAGGAATAGGAAGCACTTCTTTACTTAAATGGTAATGGGAGTGTGCAACAAGCTTTCTGTCCATTATTAGTAGTAGTATTAGGAGTAGTATTAAAACTTGAAATTGGAAGGTTGTGGGTTCTTGTCTCCATTGCGAATTCTGCTGTTGTACTAGTGGGAATTTTACATGACGTGTAATTATCTTTCTCGTTTTGTGGAGAGTTCTGTTTTGATATAGGCCTTTGAGTAAAACAATTTGTTTTGTTCAGGAGTATCTTCAAGTATGTTCAAGAAGAAACACTTCTAAATATTCAGCATAGCTTCTTACAGAAAAAAATAAGTAACTTGAAAGATTTTCGGCAATGTTTGTAACACCCATCAGGATTTGTTCTTTTTTATCGACGTACTGCGCTGTAGGTATAAGATTTTGAAGTGCTGCATGTATTTTCAAGGGGGGAAAAAGTTTAATATTTGTGTGCCTCGTACTGTGAACTTTAACATCTTTACAAACTATAGAAAATGTAGAACAGAAAAATGATCAAGAAAACGGGGTGAGAAGTGCAAAGTTTATACTTGTCATATTTGTTTTCTTAATATAAAAGATTAAGATTTCTTATTCTTGCTCTCTTTTCTCTCTCACAGGTACGGAAAGATTGTGTCAACAAAGGCAATCCTGGACAAAAACACAAATCAATGCAAAGGTATTTGTTTTACCTCCACATATTTATATTTATGTATATACACACAGTTTGCCTCTTCATGTTCTGTTTGACAAATCACTGTCAAAATAGTGAAGTCGTGAGTTAATATATCCAAATAAATGAAAGTATCCTGAGAATGTATCTGATTAATGTCATGTATCCATCTGAGTATTGTTTCGTATTTCCAGCCTCATACTGCAATCCAGATTTGAAGTGGAAAGGGATCAGTGAGACTCTAAGCATAATATATTTTTTCTTTTTGATATTTCTCAAAAAAACAAATTTATTAACGAGGCTAGTCATTAAGAATTTGTTCATGTAAAGTTAAGATTTACCACATGTTTCCTAAGAGGAACTGTTTCCTCTTCTTGAGCGACGTGATTTTATTGAAAAAAACTTCAGAGGCAAGTAGAGATGAGACGAGTGTACAGATTGTAACAGAGTTGTGATGTAGAAAGGCTCCAGCTCACTTTATACTCAAACTGAACATTTGTATGGGTGAAAGAAGTTACGTTTTTCCAGATGTAAAACCACAAAGAAAACGTAAATCCTAAAATACGTAGATTGCATATCAACATACTGTACAGTACCTGTACTTGGTCAATATCAGGTGGAATCACCTTTGGCAGAAGTTATACTGTACCTGGGAGTGTTTTCGGATTAAGTCTCCAGCAACTGTGCACACCAGGATGGTGCAATTTTCATCCATTCTTCTTTGCAAACTTGTTCAACTTCTATCACTTGATCATTTTTAGCAATTTTGAAGTCTTGCTACAGATTTTCTATTGGATTCAAATCAGGACTTTGACTGGGCCACTCAAGGACATTAACCAGTGGAGTCCAGTATACTGTAGCTTTGAATTTGTGACCTTGTATTTTGGTTCATTATCTGCTTTTAATAATAATAGTAATAATAATAATAATTCCTTACACTTACAGTACATAGCGCTTTGCTGGACACTCTACTCAAAGTGTCCCACCTGGTTGATGCGATAGCAGCCATAGTGCATCAGTACGCTCACCACACACCATCACTGGCCATATAAACTGGGTATAAAATAGTATATTCTATTTATAGTTTACAAATTCAAATGCTTTTGCCTGGGATCAGGTTGCAATATGCTTCATGTAATGCAACATATACAGGTAGATGGCAGAAAATAGGTTTGCCCTTTGAAAACCAAAGCGAAGTGTCTGAAGGCTAATTGGATCTTTACCTACAGTATGTGCGTTCATCCTGAATATCACAAACTGCATGGTGATACTGTTTGGCCCCATTTCAGGCTTTGCTTCTCTTTTCGTTGGCCCTCACACTTGAGCCCACATTCTTCCTGTGTCTTTCACAGATGCTCCAAGTGTCTTGGGACTCGGTCTTGCTTATCGGTTCTCCAATCGTAAACAGAAACACAGCCTCCTAAGAGACTCGTTATTTCTCTCTACTTTCATGAATTTCACAATGCAAAGAAGAAAACTACATTTTGAAAAGACTTTTAACGCTACGTGTACGAGCCCCAGTTCAAATTCCAAGTAGTACTGTATATTCTGTATAATCCCCCTTAGCAAGTGGGGCACAAACCAGTTTGTTTTGCAAAGTCAGAAACGTGTTCCAGCTCAGAACAACAACTGTTTCTATTTAACACTAAGCTTAAATTGTCATTAGTGCCCTGTGCTCTGTCTGTGTGCTTGCATCTCTTCATGAAAGGAGTATCGGCACTTTTCTACAAAAAAAAGAATAGAAAATATAATCCTAACACTGCCAAAAATAAAGGTAAACTACAGAATTGTGTTACTTTACATCTCCTTTTGCATTTCAGATTGAGCTTTTTAAAGGACTGTGTGTACAGAGCAGCACTATGAGAGCTAGATGTTTCAGAGAGCATTTTCCATATCTCATCCACTTGGAATGTAGAGCTGTTAACATGCCAGCGAAATCTATGTGTCCATATTTTCCAAGTGTGAATTACTGTCCGTTTCCAGTGCCTGAATCCAAACTGTTTATAGCAACAGAGTTCTCTACTGTTTTCATGTAATTAGCAAAAGAGGCCAGTTTCAATATTTACATGTCTGTGGATGTAAAAAATAATAAAGTGAAATAGTCTTTGTAAAAATTCAGAAACCCAAAGAATCCATAATAAAAAAAAAGCCAAATCTGACGGCTTAGTTTACTAAGAAAAATGAACTTGCTTGAGATCTTTAAGTTTTAAGTTTTCTGGCGGTGAATTTGAAACAACTACCATATAGTTGGTCAGCCCCTAGGCAGTGATGTATTGGGAAAATATCCTGCTGGGTTCTTCTGAAGTAAGGATTGGCTTCTGTCAAATTGGCCTTGGAGTGTGTGTGTTCGTGTTTGTGTCTGTGTGTGCCCTGCAATGAACTGGTATCCCGTCCTGGGCGTACCCCGCCCTGATCCTGGGCCGACATGACCCTGAACTGGCTATGCACTTATTCAAAGTGATGTGATGAGGGGAAGTTTATTCTTAAACATCAAACTCGAGAGAGAGAGAGAGAGCTATACAGCGTTGTTAAGTCTGTAATACTGTATAACTAGTCAAATATATGCCACCTGTATAATCTGATGTTTAGACAACACAGAAAGGAAAGGGAGGTTATCTCCTAATCTGACTCAAAAGGTTTTGAGAAATGCACACCGTGGTAAATTTGAAAAGACATCAGGAGTGGCAAAACTTGGAGATGGGTTAAGATGGGGGGAAAAAACTTTGGTATTTTGAAGTTGAATCATAATTTCCGTTCTTCCGGTCACAAATCCGATTGAGAAGCCGAAAAAATCTGGGAACAGGAAGCTTAAGAAATGAATTGCTGGTGAGGTACATGAGTGCAGAGTTAAAATCTGTGAAAGCGTTTTTTTTTGTTTTTTTTTTACATTTCTAGCTGCATATAACTGGTGGAATCTCCTTAGTGAGTAAGGAACCAGACCACATATTTACAAGAAAGTACCACAGAGGTCTTTAAAAGTAATACCACAGGCATTATAAATAAGACACTGCTGACCAAAGGGGCATTTTTCCTGAATGAGCCGAGCACCAAAGGAAATGACTCCAGCTTTTAGAGGATTTCTATTTCCTCTGTTGAAGATGGCTACAGCATGCCGTTCTAGTTGGCTTTCTGCCAGTAATTGTGTGAACTGGGACTCGCGCTTCGTCCTTTCATGTTCAAAAACCACCATAAAACCCGTCTGAAGGATTTGGGTCAAAACAGAGATAATGGAAAGATGTCTATGTGATAAACAAATGTTAATTCAAATACTGTACCGGTGTGCACTGATTTGAATAGCTCTTTTTGAGATCTCCATTTCAGGTAAAAACCGCAACATTAATATTGTTTTAATCCATAAATAGTTATGTTAACTATGCTACACTGCAGTCACAATCCTTTGGGGCAGTCATTGTAATGCCCAAGGCAGAGTAGCTAGTGGTAACTTCTGTGTGTGAGGAGACATCAATGAAGTCTTTTTATCATTCTTAGTTTTTGATAGATGTGTACAGTACTTTATATGTGAATGACGTTGTTATATGAGTGAAGCACTAATTGCAACATACTGAAAAAGGACTGGAAACGTGGCAAAAACGTGTTTCTATTTCCACTGCATGTCCTTTGTTTACAATATGACTTTGATAAATTTAGCTTTAGGTTATGGTTTTGTCTCAGCTTGAGAAATTCTAAGCCGCTGCCTTGTGATGTACTGTATTAATATCACCACAAGGGCCTTTGAATTCTCCGTCTCTCTATTTTGTCTGTGGATGTTCTGTTTCTGTGATCGAGTATCTGAAATTCTAAACCTGTGTTGGAAATATAGGATATACTTCATACGCTGAAGTTCTGGAGAGATACAGAAATGTAGCCATGATGCTTTTTTTTCTAATGAGAGGATGTAAATGAATTACAGCTCCACAGAGCTGGTCTGAGCTTTTATTGTAGCTTTAGTCATCATTAATGACTTACTGTTCCGAATCCAGCCACTGGATTTCTTTTGCTTAAGATATGAAGCATCACATACTGTAGTCCTTGCCAGCAACATTTCAGTATATTGAAAAGTAAAGAAAGAAAGAAACCACGTACTATAAACATGGTTCTAAATATGATTAATTGTATGGATTTCTGTGTATTTGTATATACTAGCAATTACATGTAATGTATTACCACAGGATGCAGTGGCATAGCCAGGCCATTTATTTCAATTTAGCCTAGGCAATTGTGAGAAAAAAAAAAGAAGAAAAAAACCTGCAGTAATTTTGCAGGCTGCGGTACATTTACATAAAACAATAACATTTACAGCATGAAAAGGTGGATGTAAATGTAGCTGGCCGTTTGTTTGCCCCAGTTCAAGTTGGGAAGTAGAAGAGTTTGGAGTCTTGTGGGGGATAAGCGTACAGTAGGTCCTGGGTCACAATAGCTGGCTTCCCCCTCTTCCGGAGTGGCACAGCAGTCAATGTCAGTGAGAAATGAGCGAAGTACATAAACCTACTGTAACTTGCTAAATCAGGAGCAGCGAATGTACTGTATAAAAGGAGATTTGCGCGCCGTACAGTATTTGCTGAGTACAAATCCATTAGTGATGAACTGCAGCAGTCGGATCTCACGTTGCTGAATATTTGTGTTCTTATTGCATTTACAGGGCTTTAATAATTCAGCATGCTTCAGTCCGTGATAATATTAGCATGCGTTTGGTGGAAGGGCTGTTTGCCGGCTGAACGTTATAACGATTTTCTGCGACTGTAAATCTGACATTGGGGATGGGCGACTCCTGTCTTACCAACTGCCGCGCCCTCAGCCCAGTGGCAGACGGGATTCTGCAGATCGTAAAAGCGCTTGTTTTTAACAGCTGCGTTAAAAATGTGGGGCTTGCTACATGAAGGGGCGCGATATCGTTTTCCTTTCCTTTCCCCCCATCAGCGATGCTTTTGAGGAGCATATTGAAATGAGCATCCCTAATCCGAGTGGAGCAGTCCAGTTGTTCCCACATCCCAGTACGCAGATGTTGG